GTTAAACACACCTATTAATGTGACCAGGTCAATTTTGAGGTAGAGAATGTATAATAGCCAAAACTTTTTAGCGAGTAAWTTTTTTGGGGGGATTTACCTATTTTCTTATCAAATAGTGTGGCCATACCTAACAAAMAAAATTTCGTGCTGATAGATGTTGTCATACCGTAATTATTCCAAAATATGCTAGAATTTTTGGGTCACACCTATTAATTTGACCATGAGTGTATATACGTATGTGTATATGTATATGCATGCATAACTTCAAGCATTCCAGCCTTTCTTATACACGCGCTCATTTGTATATGTCCTTTGTTATGCGGTCTATTCGTTATGATGTGAGTTTCGCGCAAAACATTTTTTTGCTAAGTTGAAAATTTATAATATAAATTATATTGTTTGTATTTCATAAAAATATTTATAAAGTTCTTAGCTAGCCACTACAAATGCTGACTCGCAGCGCCTTTGTGGGCGTAGATTGTCGTGGCTCGAATCCCGTTGAAAACTTTTATTGTTTTTACATTTTTTAAAGATTTATAATTTCTTACTTCCGTGTTATCATTGCCTATTAAACCTATTTATGAAAATGTCAAATCGGAAATGCACTATAGTAACAATATTTAAGCTCTTTCAATAGTTCTGTTAAGTTTTCCTTTAATACTTTCTTTTCATAGTTTCTGTAGTATCACTGACCATAATTGGCTGTGAATTGGGGGATAGCTGGTCGGACTGGCAAATAAAATACCCCTTTCGGTTTGGTGATACTAATGTAAAAATTCTGTGCTTTTTGTGAGCTATTTAATTATGGTTTAGTTGACTCTCAATTTGTCAATATCTTTAAAAAAAAAATTAAATTAAATAAATAACACAGACTAGACATTTAGTATAAAATTTTTCAACGAAGATAAAATGTACTGACTAGACAACTTCGTATTTGCTCGGCTCGGTCTTTTGAGGCTCAAACAGTGAAAATAAGGGACGACAAAATAAGTGCGCTGCGACCGCGGACACGAAATAAACACATTTCCATTTGAAGTATATTTATGCGTTCTTTTCCCCCTACTTTCACTCTCCCGCTTTTTATGCTCTATCTCTATGGTCTCTGAAATAGCAGCAGCGCACGCATGGGACGCGATGCTCACAAATTATGGGGCATTAGCTGTAGATGGATTTGTGTGCTTATTTGCCTAATTAGGTGCATGTATACACATTCGTATACATGCATCGGACATGAACATTTAAGAGTGTCTACCACAACTTAGAATTGTGAGAGCGTTTTCGGGCTCGAATTCCAGAATATTTTTTATTCGCATGATTTTTATACCCTGAACCCATTTTCAATGGGAAATAAGGGTATTAGGGTGTACTATAAATGTATGTAACAGGCAGAAGGAGGCGTGGCAGACCCCACAAAGTATATATATTATTTATCAGGGCGACGAGCTGACTTTATTTTGCCCTGTCCGTCTGTCTGTCTGTCTGTCCGTCCGTCCGTCCGTCCGTATGTATGAACGCGTCGATCTCAGAAGATATAAGAGCTAGAGAGTTGAAATTTTTTTCCTAGGTTCGTGTATATCATGCGTATATCGAGTTTTTCTCCAACAGATAACTACCCCCGATATTTTGTTATCGATTAAAAACCTAATCGAAAACTAGTTATTTAATTATATCTCCAACACCTTTCGAGCTACAGTCCAAGCTTTAAATGTAGACTTATATGTAGGTATTTTATATAATTTCGATTTTTGTTGTAATTTAATCCCCGCCTCTATATCCACCCCCTCACCCTCACCTTTGTAAAAGGCGTGTTTCAAATACTAGAGACTTGTGCTTTTTCTTTTTTTTGTGCAAGCATGTAGCTTGTCTATATTATATTCATAGTCTGAAAGTTTCATGAAGATAGTCCACCCACAAGAAAAGTTATTAAACAATTAGGTCCCCATAGTAAGCCATCACCGCAGCCAATGCGTGTTTATGCGTGCGTGCGTATGTGTGTGTGCATGTTCAAATAATTATTGAAATACTTGTTTTCTGTACTTTTTGTAGGCTATTTAATTATAGTTTTAGTTGACTCTAGTTTATCAATATCTTTAATAAAATGAATATAAACTCATAAATTTATTGGGGCTTTTAAAATTCAGCTTTATTTCATATTTATTAATACTATTTAATACATAGTGTACATAAATAAATCTATGAAATTTAAAAACAATTGTAGTTAGAATCATAATTTTCATCAAATGGATTTTTTGAAAATTCCGATGTTTTATTATAGGCGACACAAGCTTCTTTTTTTTATAACACTCATTCTATTTTTATAAGCTATGAATTCCAGTTGCGAAAATATTTGAAACCCCCTTCATTATATCACAGGACTTAGTGATTAAATCAAGTTGTTCATCATCTAATTTAGGGTATTCTAAGACGGTACCACACAACCCACATCCGACATCATCGTAGTTTTTTGTGTCATAATTAGTGCGTACACAATCTTTATGGAATGAATGCTGACAAAGGTAATAAATCGATGGCATATGTAAGGATTGCCGGCAGACATCGCAATACTTGTTACGAAATTCTATTGGATTCAATTTATAATGTGATTCCAGTGAGTTATGGATTGCTATTTCGTAGTTAAGATCTCCAATGGAGCCAAGCTCACATTTTGCATCCATTATGTTTTTCATGAATTTTTCACTTAAAAACGGTTTACAATCTTTTATTTTTATATCGGATCCAGCACACACTTTTTGCAATATCGTGAGCAATGACCGTGGACCGACTGTCAACAATGACGCAAGATTCGGGTTCTTCTTTATGTGTTGATCTAAGCATTGAAGAAAGCTTTTATCATCTTCAGAAATATTTTCAGATTCCTCACTAGTTTTAAAATTTTCAATTCCAATGGCAAATAAATAGGTCTTTGAAAGTGTTAATATCTTCTCAAATCTAATTGGCATTTTTTTTACTAAATTAGTTATATCCTCAACTGAGATTTTATTTTCTTGCCATAAACCCAAATAAAGGCTAAATAAATAATAGAGTAATTTTTCATCGCCAGGTGAATAGTTTTCTATATAGTACGATAATAAATTTACGTTAAGTTCTGAATAATCTGGAAATATCATTAAAAAACGAAGTATGTTTTTTATTTTATGGCTTTTTACCAAAGATTTCAAAGTATTTAAAACAATAGTGGAATCGACCAATAAAACTTCACGTCCATACTCAAGGAAAAAATTAAAAATATCTTCTTCGTCAGCATTATGAAAGTCGACTCCTTGAAAATTATTCACTGTATAATTAACATCTGATAAATTGATACTTCTATTTGAAATCTGTTTAAAATCAATAATGTGGGTAGTATCATTTCTAATAATCCATAATTTTCTAATCCTCGAACGTAGCCTTTGCCGATCAGAGCAAATGTCGAGTAATTTTTGATGATCAAATGTACTGATTTTACTTTCTAATAATTTATTTACATACTGTATTAAATTATCATTGTGTCTTGAACTTAATAGTTTTGAAATAATTTGGTAAGGTTTAAAAATTCCGATGGTTTGAGCATACTCAGTAACTGCTCTAGCATAGAAACCTTTGAGTAATAAATTATTACCGTATTTTAAACGTAAATATGCCATATTATTATATTGATGCTGACTTTCGTCTTTTTTCAACATCATTAGTGCGTTATTATGCATACACTTTGCAATAAGAGTTTTAACTTTAATATTTGTCGGATACTCTTTTAACTCATGGACATTAAATTTACATACATTCTTTGAATTGTCATCTTTGGTGATAAAATAGTAGACCTTATTGGAACTTACACAGTCAATCACAGTGGATATTCGCTTGTGTAATAAAATTAACTTGTTATCAATATCAACGACTGTAATGGCTGATCCAAAATTAGTTTTAACTACAACAAGAAGATAATTGTCAATCCATGAAAGAAATTGCTTATGTCCTTCAAATGCATAACATGGTCCCCGACAATCGCGTCTAAAACAGTAGATGGCGTCATCACGACCAACAACTAGAAATGAATCTGAAACAGCTGGTTGAGATAAAGTGCAACACTGATTAGCCATATTGTGATTGCTGTCAAGAACCATTTTGGAATCGATTATATTTTTATCATTTAATTGTATACAATATATTACATCCACACTTGTAACAAACACATTGCAAGCTTTCATTTCATTTTGTTGATCACAAATTGCAAATTGAATTCCATTTATCGGGCTTGAGGCAATAGTGTGCCTGCGCATATTCAAGGACAGATCCCGATTGATACTCCCAAAATATAGCAGTATATCACCTTTTTCAAACCCGACACCTAAAGCAAATAATTTTTCGAGGCCACTGAAAGAGATCTCTAAAACGGTTGCAATACTTGTAGCTGACAAATTTATGGTTGATAAACATGGTGGATGTTCCTCCTTTTTCGTCTGGTTTAAATCATATATACAAATGCATAGAGCGTAATTATCATTTTGCGAAAGTACAGCAAGTATATTGGTGGTTGTTATACAGCATAATTTGATCGGTTGATGGCCGTCAGGGCACTTTAAACTTATCTGCCGGGATTTAACTCCATTTTCCATCAAAACATAAACCATTCCACTTTTAGAACACAATACAAATTTGATGTTTGGTTTTCCATTTGCAGATTTAATTAAATTGCAGCAATGCGCTGCAATTTCCGTGTTTTGAACATTTAATTGTATGGATGGCAAAGCAACTAAATCAAAAATTTCAACATTTTTCCATTCGAGGAAACTCATCATGCCAAACTTTTATAAAACTATAAGAATAGTAAAGATGAGAGATAAGCTTGTTTAAAGGCGATAATTTGAATTACTGTCGATATACATATGTATCTAATCTCATAGCACCACTGACCAGTGTTGCCGTTTTTTCCCAAGAAAAAATAGCCGAATCAGGACAAAAACTAAGCAAAAACACTGACCAGAGAACACATAGACTAGACATGTAGAACAAATTTTTCTACAGCAGRAAATGTTAAGTTGGTCGACCACTTTACTTCGTATTTGCTCGGCTCGGTCGCTGGAGGTTCGAGCAGTGAAAATATTGGACGACAAAGTCAGTGTGCTGCAAGCGCTCAAACGAAATGGT